ATGTGTGTGTGTGTGTGTGTGTGTGTGTGTGTGTGTGTGTCACCGTGCTGATAACATGCTGTCGTCTGCTACTGCTCCAGCCACCACTGTGTGACTGACTGTCTGACTACTCCACCACTGTCTGCCTGCCCGTGTTGTGTGACGTGGTGGCTTCCCTCCGTGGTTGTTTCATTCAGTACTGCTCCAACTGTAAGCCGTCTCTCTCCCTCTCTCTCCCTCTCTCTCTCTCTCTCTCTCTCTCTCTCTCTCTCTCATCATACGTTCACTGTTGTCATGTTTTGATGACTGTGGTGATGATCAGTGTTCCGCTTGTCGCTTGCCCGGAGGGAGGAGATCAGTAACAAGTTTGGCCGCCACTGAGGGCCTTTGAATAATTCTAATCATCTTCTTGTCCGTGACTCGGCGACTTACGGAAGATCGACACATGGACCGTGGCAAGGCTGAGACGTGTGTGCTGTGTCTGTGTGCATCACTGGTCTGTGCTGTGTCTGTGTGCATCCCTGGCGAGTCAACAGTTCAACAGGTTGTCTGTCACTGGGGGAATTACCCAGCTACACGCTAGATCTACACACAACACACGTCTACGCTCGTCTGGGAACCAGTCTACGTCTGTGTTCGCGTGTGTGTGTTTATTCCATACGGTAGTGTAGTGTGGATTTCTTGGTAGCGGCTAGATAATGTAGGCCCCATTGATGAAGACCGTCAAGTCAGTGGTTCAGGAAGTGTGCTGTTGTGTGCGGGCGTGGTGTAGGCCAGTGATTGGTGTGATGGGTGTGATGGGTGTAATGGGTGTGATGGGTGTGATTGGTGTGATGGGTGTGATTGGTGTGATGGGTGTGATTGGTGTGATGGGTGAGTGGAGGTGTATTCGCACCGGGGGAAGGAAGTTACAACTTACCTACTTCGACTTGTACTACTGTCTCTCTCTCTCTCTCTCTCTCTCTCTCTCTCTCTCTCTCTCTCTCTCTCTCTCTCTCTGTCTCTGTCTCTCTCTCTCTCTCTCTCCCTCCTTCCATGCAAAATTACTTTACATCGTGCCATGCCCTCGTTTCTTTTCTCTCACTCTGTTGTTTTAAAAGAACCGCCCCCCCCCCTTCCATCGTCTTGAGAAGCCATCAGGTGATTTCCCTGATAAGCTCCACTGGTGCCTGCATCCTCTCTTTAAATAACAAACAAGTCTGTGCAGATGACGATGGACGAACATTCGTAGCGTCAGGGTACAA